TGGTGGGGGCGGCGGTGGGTGGTGGTGGTTAGGAGATGCAGGGAGTTCTAGTGTAGCATTGTGGGTTAATGTGCTGGACTGCAAGGTCAGTTTGAACCCCAAGGTCAGTGGTTCAAGCTCACCAGCCACTCCACAGAAACCCTATATAGGGTCACTATGAGTCGGAACCAATTTGATGGCACTTAACAAGAAGTGCAGCCAGAGTGCTCCTTGGAGGCCAAGATGGCCAAACTTTGTCCTCATACTTCGGACATATTGTCAGGAGGGACCAGTCGCTGGAGAAGGATATCATGTTTGGTAAGGTGGAGGGTCAGAGAAAAAGAGGAAGAACCCCAATGAGATGGATTGGCCAAGTGGCAGCATCGATGGACTCAAGTGTGGCAACAGTAGTGAGGCTGGCCCAGGATCAGGCAGTGTTTCATTCTGCTGTGCATAACATCGCTATGGGTCAGTACTGACTCAATGGCACCTAACAACAACAACAACAACAAAAACAAGGAGATGAAGGGTTGACCATTGTTGTTGTTGTTAAGTGCCATTGAATCGGTTCCGACTGTATAAGGTTTCCAAAGAGCACTGGTGAGTTTGAATCGCTGACTTCTCAGTTCAAACTAACCTTGAGGTTGAGTGCTTATCCTCTGGCACCACACCAGGACTCCATAAAACAACAACAATATATATATAACTAAAGAATCCTGGTGTGGCACTGTAGGGTAAACACTTAACTGTTAACCATAAGATTGGCAATTCTAACCTACTAGCCTCTCCTTGGAAACCTTATACAGGGTCACTATGAGTTGGAACCAACTCAACGGAACATGACAACAACATACAAACAAAGAACAAAGTTTATTCTTTAATGGGAAAATTACAAAATGTCATATTGCCATATAGGAGCAGGTGTGGAATAGATGTACTCTTAGAGGCAGCATTTCCTGAATTTGTATACCTTGGAAGGTTGAATTAATAGTTCCACGAAACTATCCTAGACCATAAAATATACAGACTCTTGAATGGCCAATTAGAAAACCAGTCTCTAACTCAGTGTGAATCAGTAGCAGGAAGTCTAGACAGTCCTTGCAAAAGTCATAAAAGCAAAGAGTAGGAACAGAAGTACTTGAGATCCATTATGGGGTAGGGAGCATTATTATGGGGTAGGGAGCATTATATAACTTCTTGTATAGCAGGGTTGAAGGTATGGAGCAAGGTGGGACTCACAGGCAAAACATGGTTCTAAGTGTCCAGAGAATAAGCAGCAACTCACCAGAACATCATCCATTCTCTAATCTACTGGCTCCACGAGGTTCTCCCAGGGCACTTCAGAATGCAGCTGGAGTGTCGCTAGACCTAAAAAAGGTTGGTATGGAAACCCTGAGGTACCAGGCACATCTTAAGACACAATCCCCCTTTCTTTACCAGAGCATTTCAAACAAAAGGACACCTCCCTCCTTCCCTCCCTCTATGCACATTCCTGAGCAAGCCACAGAGGTGAGCTGTGATTTCCTAATCGTGTCCTGAGCCAAAATTCATGAGGACACACAGGAACAGATCCAGACATGCCGGCCCCACGGAGATTACACAAACCTTGGCCCCAAACATGGAACCAAATGAGTGAATGTGCTCAAGGTGTTGAGCATTCCACCGAGGCCTTCGTGTCAGAGATGTGCTTGCATTTCCACCACTCTGGTACCACCACCCCGACCAAAGCCTCTAGTTCAATGTACGTTCTGTGCTACCAAGAAGATAAAAAGCCAAGAGCCTCATGGTGACTCTTAAACCTTCTGAGACAAGACTGCTGTGTCCCAACCCTTCTGTACCTCATACATCCTTCTCTCGGTTCAGGAAATGACATGCTCCCTCGTCAGGGTCACACAAACACATGGACAGAAGACGCCAAAGATAAAACTCAACTCCTGTACACAGGAACTTTATTAAACTACATGAAACATAAAAGAACATGTAAATGGACCATTAAATACATTCAGCTCATCTTAAAACAAATTTATATAGAAACCTATTTACATTTCTCCATTATATACTTAAATTACGTTTCCAAGCTTACTACTGATAAAAGACAATAGAAGGATCACCTGCTCACACAAAAGTTGTACACAGGGCTAAGTAACAGACTGCTTCTCGGGAAACTCAGCTTATCATTAGGTTTTAAAGCAACAACTCGTTGTGAAGGTGCTTTCTTTCAAGCAGGCTATTAAGTAAGGCCTTTTGCTTTACAGACACTAGGGGTTGTTTCTGAGACGCTGATTCCAGGTCAGAGGAGGATATGTGATTTGAACTCGTAGAGCTGGTAGGGCTGGCCCTTGTAGACCACCACAGAGGCTCCCATTGATATGGAATGGGGAACAGAGGCTCTCAGAGAATAAGGGACTGACCAAAGTCACACACAGTATCAACAATGAAGTGGGGCCCCACTCTGCCACTACCCACAATCCAGACACCATTCACCGTTTCTCACCACTCCTGGACTCTCAAGTTTTTAAACTTTTTGTCTGCCTGCTTAAGTATGTGAATTCTTAGGTTTCTTCAGATGTTGGAAATAAGTACCTGGGGCTAGTCTTACAAGAGGTTTTGGATTCCGATGTCTTACTTCTTCAGGCATAAAGTTTACCTTTTCAATTTAGCTGATATATGGAAGCTCAAAGTGGAGAATCCAGTTGGAAGGTAATGTTCTGCAGGAGCGAATCCATGGCCTTGATCACATGGATTCATCACAAATACATCATTTGTCCCAGTCCATCTACCACAGTTGGATCCAAAATGAGGTTTTACCAAGAAATAAACAGAAATGGGTTGGGGGAATTGGGGAGGGGGCGCGAAGGAATGGCAGCTTTTAAAAGAAACAAGAGTTCCTTTTCTTCTTTTCTTAATGGTTCTCAGTAGGAAAGAGTAAAATGATCATTGATGGGAAAAGTATGTTTTCCCCTTCCTTTTGAATGAAGCCTGACTTCTTTCCAATTTGTTTTACCTGATATAAATTCATATGGAAGCTGCTTTTTTTTTTTTTTTTTTTTAAAGACCTCCATTTGGATTTTCTCAAGGTTTAAAAACTCTGGTAGCGTAGTGGTTACGAATCGGGCTGTGAACTGCAAGGTCAGCAGTTTGAAACTACCAGCTGTTCCGCAGGAGAAAGATGAGGCTTTCTGCTCCTGTAAAGATTTATAGCCTCGGAAACCCTGTACAGGGTCACTATGAATAGAAACTGACTCCACGGCACATAAAAACAACAACATACCACGCAACAGGTCCCTGAGTGACATAAATGGCTTATTTGCTAACCAAAAGATTGGCAGTTCAACACTCTCCTCTCCAGCCCAGTTGCTGTTGTTTAATGCTGTCGAGTTGGATCTGACTCATAGCGATCCTAGAGTTTCCAAGGCCGTAAATCTTTGTGGGAGCAGAAAGCCTCATCTTTCTTCCGTGGAACGGCTGGTGAGCTTGAACTGCCAACCTTGTGGTTCAGTCTAGTGCTTATCGCATGGAGCCACCTCACTCCCCTCCAGCCCAGTGGAGTCCCCAGAAGGGCCTGACCATCTACTTCCATAGATTTCAGATTACATAGCTGTCCTACTCTAGTAACACACGGGGTTGCCATGAGTCAGAATCAGCCTGATGGCAACAAGTTTTTTCTTTTTCTTTTTTTCCTGGAATCAAGGAATAGATGTCAATGTACATTAAAAAGCCCTGGTTAAAAAGAGAGAGAGTCCCCAGCCCCAGGTCATATTAGAAAAGTTGAAAGTGCTGAGTGGGAAACAAAGAGGAGAGGGGGCCAGAGGAGAGTAGAGAAGGCTGGGAGACAGGGTGTGTGTACCCTTCCTGAACCACTGTGAACATAATCCATAGCAGCCGTCCCTGAGTTTTACAGCAGATACAGATGGGCAGACATGGACTGGGAGACAGGTGCTCAGATGACCTGCCTCAGATACCTTTCCATTGGAATATGTTGTTGTTGCAGATACATGCTGTCAAGTCAGTTCTGAACCATAGCAACCCTGTACAGGGTTTCCAAGGAGCAGCTGGTGAGCTTGAACCGCCAACCTTTCAGTTCAAATGGCTTTGCAGTCTGACGCATTAACCCACAGTCCCACACCAGGACTCCTCTAAATTTTGGAAAACCCAACCAGGGGCCTTTGCTCCTGTCCTGGTGAGGCCTGCCCAGCCGCTAGAGGCCCTGGGTATGTGGAAACCCCAGCCATTCACGCTCTAGGGTTCCCTCCCCTCTGCCCATCGTGTCTACCATGACCACATGGGAGGAGACATTTGATTTCTGCCCCGAGTCTGACATTTCCTCCTGCTCATGTACAAACCTTCACTAAGAGTTACACAACGGCAAATGAACAGGCCAGGAATTCAAGGAGATCACTGACCACAGGACCAATGGCTCTCAGGGAAGTCCAGTTGCTGGCAATGGGCAGTGTGGTATGAGGGCAGGCGGAACCCTGAGGTTAGGGAACAGAGGAAGATAAACATATCTTCATATTAAGGGTGCTTTTTTTCCTGTCTTCTCCTCCCCTGGGGAAACATTTCATTTTGCAAAAGGAATCAACTAAAACATTTAAGTTTCATAATATTAAAAAATAAGTCTTAGATATATAAAAACTGGCCAAAAAATTTTTGTTTGTTTGTTTTTTTACTGGTTACATAAGAACATCATCTTACACACCAAGTCCGTCACAGGATCTTTGTTCAGGGGACGCACACACCCTCAGGCCGGCAGACCTTTGTGGGAGTGTGAGGGAGGTGCTGTCCATCACAGTAGTGAATGTACATTCAGACTTAGGACCTTACAGCAGGAGGCAGGCTGCACAGCAGGCCAGGGCCCACAGCCTCTGAGATGGTACCTTTAGTGACAAGATCGTTAATAGGTAGCACCGGGGGTTGCTATCCATGGAACAAAACCTTTCAGTGTTGGCCTCTTCCTTGTCCTCATCCCAGAAGCCATCGTCCCCACCCAGATCCCAGGAGTCAAGAGAGGACTCAACCCATCATTTCCGCAAGGGATTCAGCATTTTCCCCAGTGTGGTCCGATTTGAGTCCTTCAGTCTGAGGGAGGCCCTCTCCCCGGTCCCTCTACCCTTCAGAGGGGCCTCTGTGTTGGCACTGGCCCCCTCAGTGGACTCTGGACACTTCTTGGACATGCGAGCACTACTGGCCCGCCTCAGGGTGACGTCATTCTTGGGGGAGGCATTCTCAGGGCCAGCCTTGACCCTCAGGTGCCGCTGCGAGACTGTCCGAGTGATCCCGGGAGCTTTCGTCACAGGAGTGGAGTCTGTTCTCACACACCGAGAAGAGGAGGCCACCGTGTTTCGGGCAAAGCTGGGGATGGTGGGTGGGACCCGGGGGAGGCTAGGGGCAGGGGGGGTCTTGGGCTCTTCTTCAGGGCTCTCGGTACCCTGAGAGTTGGAGCAGCAGATCTTGATTTCCTCAGGCTTCTGCCTGGGAACGTTCCTGAGGGGTTTGGCGCTGGGTTTCTTGATGGAGCTCCGCTGCTGTAAGGAGGGCTCCTTCCCCAGACGGCTGCTGCTGACTTGCTCCTGCCGCACCACGGCCATGGTGCCCACAGAGGACCTCCTGGCCAAGGTATCCAAGGGCCCTCGAACAGAGCTCCGGCGCAAGGGCAGCGTGTCTGTGCTGCTGGGCGCCTCCCGGGGGGGCACCCGAGATGGCAACTCGGGCCGCTTCCAGCCCCCAGCCCCCCTGCTTGACTTGGAGATGGGCACAACTTTCCGCATGCTCTCGTTCTCTGAGGAGTGCAAGGTCCGCACAGGCTTGGGCACCACACCCTGGCTCTTTCGAACACTGCTGGGCTTGGAGGGCCCTGGGGAGGTCTCTTTAAGGGAGCTTCTCTTTGGTGCTATCCCATCCTTATCTTTGGATGGTCTGTCCTTGGGGCAGTCATCCTTACAGCTGGGCTCAGTGTTCTCGAAGACCAGAGGGGAGGCCTCCACAGGAGGGCTGGAAGCAGGGTTGGAGGAGACCTGGCTGCCCCCTGTCTCTCCAGCCCCAGAAGACACAGAGCTGTCCCTGTCCCTACCCTCCTCCAGCTCCCCACCTCCAGGTCTGGAATCGGTCCCCTCTGAGCAGTCCAGAGTCAGGGAGCAGTCTGTGGTGTCTGAGATGTAGAACTGAGATCCCGGATCTTTGTTCTCAGGCCCACTGCTATTTACAGACACCAGAACCGGGCTGCGGGGTTGGTCAGGGGCAGCCTTGACATCTTCCCAGGTTGGACCAAGACTCTCCTGGGAGCCTGTGCCCCTGGGGGTAAGGCTGCAGTCACCTACATCTGGGGACTGCAGGCTTCCGTCCCGCAGAGAGGCCAGTTCCATAGGCATGACATCGTTCAGGGCTAGCTGGGGTATCTCCACTGGGCCCTTGGGCCCCTTGAGGTTGAACTGGGCCAGCCCTGTCACCAGCTCATGCTCCTTAATCCCTAGAGCCAACGGTGAGAGTGGAGGAGAGCGACTTGGACCCAGGCCCACAGGCTCACTGTTCCTCTTTCGGAGAATGCTGAATCCGCTGCGCCGCGCTCGGGGGAAGGCAGAGTTGGGATCCTCAGGCCGGGAGGCTGGGAGCGGGCTCTGCCAAACTGAGTGTGGGCTGTGGGCCTTCGCCTGGCCCTCCAGAGCCTGAGGTCTAAACGCAGGGTTGGAGTCTCGGTCAGCAGAGTCCCTCCAGGCTTGTGTGGGAGGGGCCTGCCGGTCACTGTTCCGGGGCAGGCTGTTGCACTTGGCCAGCTCCTTGGGGCTGCCGGTGGAGCTCTCCAGGAAGGTCAGCAGCTCCCGGTCAGCGACGGTGCCCAGGGAGAGGCGGGAGCGGCGGGCGTTGGGGGGCCGGTAGGAAGGGCTGATGGATCTGGAGTCCAGAAAAGGGGGCAGGTCCTCCGTGCCCTTCGTGGTCAGCAGTTTCACGTCATTTTCACTGCTGCTCCGGCCAAACCCCCCGAGCTCCTCTGTGGCCCAAGATCGGCGTTTCTGCTCCAGTTCCCTCAATCGCTGCATCTGCCTCAGCTCCTGCACCTCCCGGTCCTGGTTGTCCTGAACAAAGAAGGGAGACACACCCTCACATACATGAACCACATGAGAGCCATGTGCAATTCCAGTCCCCAGCCTGAAGGCCACAGAAGGAGGTGTAGGCACAGCGGGGACATTGCATCCTGCTCTACCTGGGCCACGTCCTTCCCAGAGAACGAGTGTGTGTGTGTGTTTGTGTGTGTGTAGGAGGGAGTAAGTTCTCCTACAGCTACCTGAGGCTCTGACTATACAAAGGCGCACACAAGCCTGTTCTAACCACCTGTCTTAAGTTGGCATCTGATACCTTGCCCCAACTTTCAAAGACTTTCCTCCCCTCAGTGTGGTCTGTGATTTCACATATGCTTGCTGCTTGAACTCCAAGGAAGCCCTAGTTGATTGGTTTCTAAGCAGAACAAGACAGACAGAACTGCCAAGGAAGTGTTACTATTGAGTGAGGCAGTGGCAGAGGGGAAAATACAATGCTAAATCCAGGAGTCCTGGTATGGTGCTGTAGGATAAGCACTGGACTGCTAACCAAAAGGTCAGCAGTTCAAACCTACCAAAACACTTTACAGAAACCCTATATGGGGTGGCTGAGTCTGAATAAACTCTACAGCAGCTAACAACAACAATATGCATTCACGTGTGGTATATTCTACCTAACGATGGTTTGGAACCACAAAGATATTAAGAGACACCCCTTCCACCTCCCAGGAACTCTGGTGGGTTAAGCATTGGGCTGATACCATAAGGTGGGCAGTTCAAATCCACTAGCCACTCCAGAGGATAAAGGTGAGGCTGTCTGCTTCTGTAAAGATTTACAACCTTAGAAACCAGAAGGAGGCAGTTCTCCTCTGTCTTATAGGGTCCAGTGAGTTGGTATCAACTTGATGACAGTGTGGTTTTTTGGTTGTTCTGTTGAAGAGGCACCAGAAATGCTAAGTTGGCTCTGGCAGCTGCCTACCCCAGTAGAGAGGTTAAACTCTCCAGCCCCACCCTGGGCCACACCCCCACTTTCACAAACAGAGAAGAGAAACAGGAGCATGCACGCTTTACAAATCCTTCTTCCTTTTGCTCTGCTCCAAAACACCTACCTTTCTCTAACAGAACTGATCCCAACGAAGCACACACATCAAACTTTACTTTAAATAGAATAGATCTGTGTTGTGTAAACCCAGATCTGTTATCATTAGCACTTTTGACTTGAAAATCACTTTCCTCAGATGGTGGAATTTCCCTTCCAAGTATCTATGAGGCTCCCCTCCCTGATTGCTGGCTCCTCCTGCAGTTCAGGCCTCCCCCAGGATCTCCAGGCCTCTCGGGCCTTCTCCTTTCAAGGTGCCTGTAGAAGGGGATGCGCCTGTTTCTTGACAGCATCATGCAGGTGGCCTCTTTGGCCTACACAATTTTGACTGGGAGTGAGGGCCTCAGACAGAGCCAACTTGGCTCTATCAGCCCACCACCGCCTCCTGACTGAGCTCATTGCTTGGACAGAGGAGCGTAAACGTGGCCATGGCTGAGCCTCTTCTTAGTTGGACAGAGACAGGAGAGTTGAGAACTCCAAATAACCCAGGGCTGCTGTGAAAGACCTCTTTCAAGTGTCCAAGAGGAAAGATGTCAGCTTGGGGGCTAAGGTGAACCTGACAAAAGTCATGGTATTTCAAATGCCTCATATGCATGTGAGAGCTGGACAGTGAAAAAGGAAGACCGCAAAAGAATTGATGCATTTAAATTATGTTGTTGGTGAATGAAAGCTGGACAGTGAATAAGGAAGACCGCAGAAGAATTGATGCTTTTGAGTTATGGTGTTGGAGAAGAATGCTAAAAATACTATGGACTGTCAGACGAGCAACCAAATCTGTGTTGGAAGATGTACAGCCAAAATATTCCTAAAAAGGGACCAAGGTGAGATGTTATCTCTCATACTTCTGATGTGTTATCAAGAAGGACCAGTCTCTGGAGAAGGATATCATGCTTGGATAAGTGAGGGTCAGTGAAAAAGAAAAAGACCCCCAATGAGATGGAATGACACAGTGGCAGCAACAATGGGCTCAAACCTAACAATTATGAGGATGACATAGGACTGGGTAGTGTTACGTTCTGTTGTGATAGATAAGTATGAGTGGAAACCAATTCAATAGCACCTAACAACTTAGGGCTTGAGAAAATGTGGAGAGTCCTAAAGGAAACTCCACTCAAAATGGGAAAGAGAGGGCCTTTTAATCATCCTGATGCAACAAGTCTCCCTTCTGAGGGAGGTTGGTTGAGAGAGACTTTAAAATATAATTATTGTCTTTACTAACAAAATGCTTTTAGTGAATTAGTGAGGGAGTTGGTATGGGCAGCAAAGTAACTGAGGCAGCCAAATGGAAGCCCTCGGTGTTGGGGCAGTAGAGCCACTTCCCAATAATGCCCACAGAGAACCTGGTGAAGGTACCTGGGCCAGACTTCCCTGTGCCAATGGAAATGCTGAGCCATCTTCTGTCATGGCTCTCAGGAAGGGGTCTACAAAAATAAAACACAAATCGACATCCAAACAACTGTGAAAGGAGAGAGGTGTCACCATGCATACCTTAACTGCCTTGTTGAATTTGGTACAGAAGTCTCTAAATATCTGAAGACACTCATCCAGTTTCATGGTTTCTTTGTCTTCACAGAAAAAATCTATAAGGGTGTGAGCCTCATCCTGGAGCTCTTGTTTCCAGCGCTCCAAGTCCATCAGCTTTTCTACAGCAAACTGCAGAAACACAAACAAGCACACACTAAGGTAAACAGGTTCAGCGGATGGGGCGGTTGGTGTTTTGTCTGGTGCCTGGGAAGACGTGTTCCCTGGGTTCAATTTCAGGTCTCGGGAAAAGGAAGTCTTAGTGCCCTCAAAGCCAAACAGAAAAGAAATCAACCCAAACAAAACCTCAGGGAAGTAAGGTGAACCTTTTCTGTGTGAAGGTTAGAAGAAGCAAAATAGATGAAGTGGTTTTAACCTGTAGAATGCCACTCACAAAATCTTTACCCTTAATGTCACTGAGAAAATTACATAAGCATACAGCTGTTCTGTATTTTTAAATTAAGCACTGGAGTGCTAACTGCAAGGTTGGTGGTTGAAATCCACCAGCTGCTCTTAGAACCCCTCTACAGAGTCGCTATGAGTTGGAACCAACTTAGTGGCACACCTCCAACACTCTTAATATTTGTTCTTCTTTCTCTTAAATCTGAACCTTATACTAGCCAGAGGTCCCTGGGTACAAGTGGTTTGTACTCGACTACTAATCTAACAAAAGAAAGACCTCCAGCAAGATGGATTGGCAAAGTGGCAGTATCAATGGACTCAAGTGTGGCAACAATTGTGAGGTTGGCCCAGATTCACGTTGAGGTATAATGAGGAGGCATGGTGGTCATAGGGAGGGGAGACACTGGAACACAGTCCCCCAGGGAAGATAAAGTCTTTCATTGCTTTCTTTGTCATATAAAAGGGGGATGGGGCATATATAAAGGAGGAACGAATGAAAGATTTTATGAAATCTCCCATGGATCATTTAAAAAAAAAAGGCTTATCTTTGAAAAGCTTCTTTTTTGAGTGAGAGGGGACGGGCCCAGTACATGATAAGGTTACAGGCTGCCTGCTTTCAGAAGTAGACTTGCTTCTCTAAAGTGCTTGGAGAGCAATAGCCCTAAGGAGAAATCTCGGTTAAGACTCACTACCTCCCACTCACTCCAACGCACCTTCCCCTTAAAAGCCCTTTTCTGACACCAAACACATTCAAGAGGTGGTAGGAAACCAAAACTATTTAGGAAACCAAATACCAGAGAAAGTAATCATCTGAGTCAGTAGCCCAAGGCAGTGCGTGCATTCATGCTGTATTTTTCTTATGGAGAGAAGGGTATGAATGAAAGGATAAACCTTTGCCTGTCACTCTATTACAAAGGGAAGGATGGATTCCAGCCAAGTACAACTCAACTTCAGAAAAATAGGACTCTTCACAAGAATGTACATGGAAGCTTAGCTCAGCCTCATGTCTCATCTCAGGATAGGATACCAGTAGGCAAAAAAGTTACAGGCACTGAAATCTTTCTAAGGACTTAGGAAAATGAAACATTCTGAATATGGATATGAATGACAACCAGAATCAAAATTATCTGCTGAGAGTTTCTGAACCATTTTACCTGATGTCTACCTGACCAAAGCTACACTGGCAATACATGAATGCCTATACATTAGCAGTTTAGGCACAAATTCAACTTTATATCTATCTCTATCTGATTCAAGCCATGGTATTTTCAATATGTGTGTGAAAGTTGGACAATGAGTAAGGAAGACTGTAGAAGGATTAGTGCATTTGAATTATGGAACCGGAGAAGAATATTGAAAGTACCATGGACTGTTAGAAGAACAAACAAATCTGTGTTGGAAAAACTACAGCCAGAATGCTCCTTAGAAGCCAGGATGACTAGACTTCCTCTCTCATACTTCAGACATATTATCAGGAGGAACCAGCCCCTGGAGAAGGACACCAAGCTTGGTAAAGTGGAGGGTCAGCGATAAAAAAGGAAGACCACCAAAGGGATGGATTGGCACACTGGCAGCAGCAGTGGGCTCAAACATAACAATTGTGAAGATGGTACAGGATGGGGCACTGTTTTGTTCGCTAACAATTGAAACTGACTCGATGACACCTAACAGCAACAACTAACTTAGCTGGTAAGGACCAAAGTTCCAAACTAATTTATGAAGTAATTCTTTAAATCCAAAGGATTACAATTCTGAAATGGACCTGCAAAAAAAAATGCACTTCTATCATTTTCTTGATCAAAAACCTTCAGTGGTCCCCAACTGCTTATAGGGTAAAGTCCAAAGTTTATAGACCAGTACTGGGGCCCTTCATAGCCTAACTCTAACCAAACTTCAGAAATTTTATCACACCTGTTTAAAAAAAAATGTTGCCTTAGAGGAGCATTCTAGAGGTGAGGTTACATAAAGCAGAGTTGCTTTATCATACATCTTTCTGCATTAATAGTTCGTGTAAGACATTAGCACTGAATATAGATGCTCGTGGAAAATGAACATCCAGATGAGTTCTTGATGTATTCTTAGTCTCAAGTGTCTGAATGTGTGTTTTGCTCCTGAATGGGCTTACTGTTAGGGACTTGTGGTGGTGGCACTAGCATTGTTATTGCACTTTGAGAAAAATCAGTACCCTTTAGATGGAAAATTTAAGAGTTCAGATATATTCGAAATAAAATATGGAGCATATGCTTAAAAATAAACTCAGAGCAGAGCCAAAGCAAAGTCCAATGTTTGCTGGTGGGCACTAACAGTCAGAATACGGTGAAGTAGCTGCATTATGAGCAAAGGTGTAAGTTGGCACAACTGTTGGAGCACACTGTTCCTTCCTAGCATCAAGGGCAGCTTGTCACACATACTCCACCTCGCAAACCTCCAAGCACTTAAGGGAGTACACAGTTTTACTGAAGACAAAAAGCGTGAAACGGTGCCACATTTTTTTTTTTTTAATTTTAATAAGGAAGATAAAAGAAGTATGTCAGACTATGTAATTAGTGAGTCACAATGAGCTGTCACAAACATGTCCACTCTGCTGTTTTTGTGTTGATGTTATTCGGAGTGGCTCCGGACACTCCCTGTAGGGCTAATGTATTTTGGGTGTTGATAGGCACAGCTATCCTGTGTTCTGCTATGCTCATTATAAAACAAGCCAAAATGTAGCTTGTGCCTTCAATGAAAAACAAGCTGAGGTGCAACGGCTCAGGTTCTAAGGTATCTTTAAGGTTCCTGTGAAACTTTATTCTGTTCTACAAAAGTCTGATTGCGAGACAGGAACTCCTAAACTATGATTTAAAGCCAAAATTTGAGTTGCCAGGTATAGACCAAGCGTAAACACTTTACCCTGATATCAGTTCACTACTATGAATGTGCAAATTGAACAATGATAAACAGAGGCCCGATTCTTAAACACATTTTTTTTTTTAAGTTTTAGATGATACTCAGTATTCTCTCTGCTTATACACATACACACATGCACAAAACAAAACCCCAAAAATGGGCATTAAATTACAAAGTTCTTTTTACTGACCGAGGACAAATATGAATGGGAACCTGCTTTTTCCACAAACACGTCCATGCAAATTTAAGCAGTCCTGGTGGTATTGCTAGAAGATGAAATTAGAGGGACTGCCTCGGTTCACCTACAAACCTTAAGGAAATCTTCCATCTGCTGACAAAGCTCTCCATCCCGCTGGATGTTTTCCTGGAGAGATTTTGTCCTGACAAACAGTGAGTGCAATTCTGCCTCTGTGTTATCCAGAGAAAATCTAAAAGAAGAAAGGGGAGAGAGAGCAGTTGGCACAAGGAAGCCATGTGTCATGTGGGTACATCAAACAAGACCAGTCGTTGATCAACCTTAGAACCAGAAGGGGAAAGCTACTATGATTACATTTCTCTATCCCTGTACTTAGATCATGTGAGTCTTTCATGATCTTTTCCTAAGAGGTGATTCCTTCATAAAGACATACCCTGGTTCAAAGAAGGCAGGCTGTAACTTTACTCTTGCTGGTGAGATAATTTTTATAAACCAGGTCTTAACAGCATTAAAAACTGAAGGTCAGCAGGACCCTGGGGAGGCTTATACTGTTCTCTGGCCAAGGAAAGCTCTAACTCAAAAGGAGCAGAACATATGTTGACTATCCTGATGCAAAGGTTAACGTGGAAATGCTGGGGTTACAGACTTCCCTTCATTTGCCACAAACAGCCAGAGCCAGAACTCTGTGTTTGGCAGAGAACTAACACACTGATAACAATTCTGCAAAGAAACAGCCGGATGGATTGCTTTTGTTACATAAGCTAAAGCAAGATTTGTATGTAGAACACAAACAATGTTTTTGTCACCTGGTAAAGAGAATGGTGGAACCTAGAATCCAGGTGAAATATAATTAGCAAATTCGTGCATTAGGATGCATCATTGTCAAGTTCCATTTTTCTTTGAACCAAAAAGTTTCTCATCTTTATTGGTGCCCACTGGTGATCTGTAGGTACTTCGCTTTACATTTCAGATAAGCAAACCTTACTAATGGAGTTTTTCTAAGAGAATATGTAGCTAAACGTCTCCATCTAATTCTAACCAGAAACACCAGTTAAAAAAAATACATACATATTATTTCTCTTCATATGTCTCGTAATAACATTTCTATACTTTACTAGTGAGAGTAATGATATTCCTACATACATTTATTATTTTTTTTAAAGTAATTTGAAAGCAAAATAGTTCATATCTTATAATATTCCCTTTCTTCCTGGAGAAGACTCTGGTCATCTGTAAACATGAATTCTTTACACCTTTGAAATAATAATCCCACTTTGGGAAAGACATGTGGTCTGTGGTCATATGTGTATGTTGTTGTTCAGTGCCACAGAGTCGGTTCTGGTTCAGAACGACCCTGTATAGACTTTCCGAGGAGCAGCTGGTGAGTTTGAACCGCCAACCTTGCAGCAAGCAGTCCAGTGTTTATCCTACAGCATCATACCAGGACCCCCACACTGCTAACGATTCAGCTCCTAACTAACTGAAAGGTTAGCAGTTTGAATCCACTCCGAGGCACACTGGAAGAACGTTCTGGCAATCTACTCCCCCCCAAATCAGCCACTGAACACTCTATGGAGCACAGTTGTACTCTGGCACACATGAGGTTGTCATGAATAAAAACTGATTTGATGGCAACTGATTTTGGTTTTTGGCCAATGATGGGGGGAAAGAAGATTAAAAAGCTATGGTGCATAGTGGCATATGGTTAATTTCTGTCATGACTGTACATACACACTCAAATAATAAATATATGAACTGAATCAATACATGAAGTGAGGTGCTGAGTGCCGAAGCTTACTCACAACAGCCACCTCTGTATTCAGTAATACCACATCGGTAGCTTAAAATCAGCCATGGTAGCAGTAGTCATACACGGGGATTAACATATGCTATAAATCAGGGCACTTTTATTTTCCCCTAAAAGAGGGTTGATGAGAACATTTACCACTGGATATATGGTACTATAAATTTGAAAAAACCGAACTCAAAATAGCAAATACCCAAAGACTGCAACTACATTAAAGCACCCATCTTTATTAGGATTACAAACAAACTAAAGTGATCTAACGAGAGCTCTATATGTTTGGTATATGAGAGCATGGTGGCTCTGCAAGATAAACACTGGGGATTTCAATCACAAGGGCAGTGTTTGCAGGCCCCCAGCAACTCCAAACAGATGAGGCTTTTGCTCCCCCAAAGATTTACAGCTGCAGAAACCCTACAGGGTCGCTATGAGTCAGAACCAACTTGACGGCACTGGATAACAACAAATGTTTGGTAGATACTTTCTCTGTAGAGTTGAGTGAGTAATTTAAAAACCTTTCATAGTTCTTGGTATGGATCCAGTTCCTTCTATTGCAATAGAAATCAAATGTACCATGTTAAGATTCTACAAGGAAACAGTGATTTCTGGCCCTGGAAGTCTGACTGATATATAACAACTCCCAAGGTAATATAGGCTGTGTTGTTAGAGCTCTATCTTTTGGGTGTGGAGGGATTTGAAATTCTTAATCCATATTTTTTTTAACACTGATGATATTTATTAAAACAGATTACAATAGTTTTTTTTAGACTAAAAATAAAGAGTAAATTTCAAAACCCTCAAATTCCAAAGGTGCACACTTACCACAGTAACCAAATGAAAAGGGCTGATGCTTCAATAAAATAAAACTTTCTAAAGTTCCAACTTGCATCAAAAAGTTGTGAATATTCTTGAGTTTACATAAGGCAGTTTAAAAAAAAAAACAAGAAAATTCCTGAGTTTTCTTAACATTTCTCAATGTTTCCCAATGTTTCTTGCTTACCTAGCAGCCTCCTGAACGTGGTACAATTGTTCTGAAAAGTTTAGGAGAGTGGCATCTTTCTTTTGGGCTTCCTAGAACAAAAACAGAATTTTGTCACTATATGGGAGGAAGTTGGTTCCCTAGGGCTTAAAGGAGCCTTCAAATCACTGTTTTCTTTTTTTATGCCTGATGTATTCAAAGCAATTCACTGAGAAATGAACTCTGATATTCTTAGTAAGATTTACCAGAAGTCCCTTACTCTTAAGATACATTTGACTTCCCACAGCAAGTAACCCTGACATGAAATGCAATATGTGCATTAAAACTCAATGGAAGGTGGTAGTGGCTTAGCAGGGCACATTGTTTTCTAAGAGAATCCAATCTAGCCTGCTTAAATACCACCCATACCTATGAGTATGCCTTTAAATGATCGAGATACTTTCAGCTGCTAAACCAGTTCTTGAACTGAGTTTAATCAGAAGGTGCACTTGCCACAAAGGTGTTTGGATTCTTCGCCTGTTCACAGGGTAAGAGGAAGGCCCGTGGGAAGGAAACAATTACTGACTAAGGAAACTTCCCTAGATGGACAGGGACCAAGCGACACTGAGCAACTAGACACACAGATCGAAAAGAACTCCGTCAGAAAAGCATCTGCAATCCACTCTGGATAAGGAACACACTTTTCATGTTAATGTTGTACAAAGTAACTTGTCAGTTAAGCACTGAGCTAAAGGTGTCATCTGCCTTCTGAAGATTATTCTGAAATAATAATAGCATCTATTATCCATAGAGAGCTTATTATAGTGCAATCACTGCGCTTAACACTTTATGGAGTTATCTCCTTCAGCCCTCTTAATTACCTCATTTTTAGGTAGGTACTAACTCTCCCCTGAAATCCTTCCCTCTGTCGTGTAAATGGTTAACTGAAAGGTTGGCAATTCAGAAGAAAGACCAGACAATCCACTTGTGAAAAATCAGCCATTAAAAAATTCAAGAATGCACAGTTCTCTTCTGACACACATGGGGTCACCATGAGTTGGGACAGCAACTATACCTATGTAGAAATACGTGTCTTTAAAGTTTAAATGATTTGTCTGAGGAAGCACAGTTAATAAAAGACAAGTCCGAACCTACTTCCAGTCTGTCCCATTCTAAAGCTCACACGTAAAACACACATACAACTCTGCTTCCTTCCCCGATTAAAGCTATGTCTACGTGGTTGGTGTCAAAATAGCATGTTGAGTCAAGGATGAAGAAAAAAAAAAGAAGGCCAGTAAGTTAATTCAGACTACATAGCAAAGATATGGAATCCTAGTGTGGCACTGTAGGGTAGGCACTAGACTGCTAACCCCAAGGTCAGTGGCTCAAATCCACCAGCCGCTCCTTGGAACTTCTGCACAGGGTAGCTATGAGTCAGAGCCGATTTTACAGCACTAATAACAACAACAACACAGATATAAATGTCCTGGGCTGACTTTTTCCCTTTGTAATTAGCTAATTCCGTATCACATGTTGTTAAGTGCCGTCGAATCAGTTACAATTTATAACGACCCTGTATAGGGTTTCTAGAAGTGGCTGGTTGGTTTGAACCGCCAACCTTTCAGTTAGTGGTTCAGTGCTTAATTGACAAATTCACACACCATTGTTGTTGTTGTTAATGTCATTGAGTCGGTTTTGACTCGTAGCGACCCTGTATAGGGTTTTGAGGAGTGGCTGGTGGGTTTGAACTGCTGACTGTTTGGTTAGCAGTCCAGTGCTTATCCTATAGCGTCATAACAGGACGCCATAGACCTCATCAAAAGAAGGAAGTGGTTTTCTTCCTGCTCCAATTCCCTTACTCTTCACATATAAATGGTTACAAGTCTAATTAGTCTTACCACAAATATCTTAATAACCAGTCTTCTCCTCTCTTTGGCCATTAGACCCCTCACACTAACCAAACAGTTTGAGCCAACTCCTACTGAGAAATCGCCCTGTTTCTAGTTCTTTCTACACTGCCTTCTTTCCTAAACACAAAACCAAATGTGGTCATGCCATTATGCTGTGCACAGACTTCTGTTGACTCCCAACTGCTAGAACAAGAAATCCAAATTTCCCAGCTTAGTATAGGCCCATAAATCTCTGCCCTATTCCCTACCTCCTCTACTTCTCTCTACTGTAACCCAATCATGACAAACAGAGACAAGAAGTCATCAAGGATTTCCTTTTACTTGGATCCACAATCAATGCTCATGGAAACAGTAATCAAGAAATCAAGCAACATATTGCATTGGGTAAATCTGTTGCAAAAGATCTCTTTAAAGTGTTCAAAAGCAAAGATGGCATTTAAGGACTAGGGTAGACTCAACCCAAGACATTGTATTTTCAGTCGTCTTGTATATATGTGAAAGCTGGACAAGGATTAAGGAAGACCGGAGAAGAACTGTTGAGTTTCAGTTAGGGAGGGTGATGCTGAAGAAAACAGAATGCATCATTGACTGCCAGAAGATGGAACAAATCTGTCTTGGAACAAGTAAGGCCAGACTGCTCCTTAGAATGGAAAGGAGTGAGACTTAGCTCACGTACCATGGCCATGTTATCAGGAGGGACCAGTGCGTGGAGAAGGCCATCATGCTGGGTTAAACAGATGGTCAATGAAAAAGAAGACCCTCAATGAGATGGATTGACACAGTGGCAGCAACAATGGGTTTCAGAAGCCCAGCAACAACTGTGAGGATGGCGCAAGAGTGGGCAGTGTTTTGTTCTGTTGTAGACAGGGTCGCTAAGAATAGGGCACCTAACAACTATAACAATAACCCAAGGCACCACTCAGCTCAGGAATGTGCAAATAATGCTTCTGCAAATAGGTCCTTCTGGGGCCCTTTCCTAACTCTGCTTGATGCCACTTTATGCCCGGCGGTGAAAACCTTCACCATCTCCAAGGGGGACTCAAACACATTCTCTCTCTGTATTAATCACTTCCACATACCTGAGCAACAAAGTGCAGAAGATTCATTCCAGGTTTATTTGCTTTGGTGTCTGCCAGTTTGAGCAAAGAAGACAGTTTAAATCCTACAGCGTTGCCAGCATACCCTCCCTAAAGGAGGCAAATCAAGAGAAAGAAAAAAAAAAAAAAATGCTTATATACTTTTAAAGAGACAAATATCAAGGTTGAAAACATAAGTTGTTTTATTTTTTGAATATTACTTACAGCATTCATGATATTCCCAGCCTGGAGCACCAAGTGTAATACAGAATGTAACCCATCACACGACATCAACTCTGTCAGGAAAAATACATCATAGCAGCTTAGAGAAGGATTCAGCTCAAAAGACACGAAAGACAACTACCACATCCAAGCTTAAGAGTATCTGAAGCAAACAATGACCTTAATCTATATACAAAGGCTGAAAAAAACAACAACGCCTCACATTAGGACAAGGATGTCCAATAGCTAATACATCATTGCTACTGGACATCCTTGTCCTAAAGTTTAATAAGGAATCAAATGTGTATGCAGTTACAAATCACAAAAAAGGATGGAAATGTTCAAATCATAAAAAATTCAAAAGCAGTGGTGGTGGTTATGTGCTGTGGAGTCAGCTCTGACTCATAGTGACCCTACACAGGGTTTCCGAGGCTATAAATCTTTACAGGAGCAGAAAGCCTCATCTTTCTCCAGTATCTAATGGCTGGTAGTTTCAAACTGCTGACCTTGAGGTTAGCAGCCCAACTCATAACTACGCTACCAGAGCTCCTTAAATGCAGCAGAGGGTGTTGTAGAAATAACTTCCTTCTCAGAAGTCTTTAAAAAAAAAATTTCCCCTGTAAAACCATTAATCTCTGACACTATATTTATGGGGTATAAGAACCAATAGAGAACAACAATTTGGTTAGCCAATGAGCTATAAGTTGGTAAAATAAATAAATAAACAGGCTAGGAGGACATGTAAATAACTTGCAAAGCACCAATCCTTGGGGCCCAGAGAACCGTCTTTCAATTTTATTTAAAGCTATACATTCTATTTAAGGCTTTAAAATTGTTTTTCACTGTACTATGTTGACAAACTAGTTTTAAACACCAATTTTTTTTTGACACCTACATAAAGAAATAATATTATTAAAATGTTTTATGTATTTGATGAGTTAAGAAGAAAAATTATTTAAATTATAGTACATCTAGGTATTAACTTGTCACCTATAATGTTTTTAAGTTATATTCTCCTTTAAGCCTGGTCTTACTTTCAAAAAAAAATTTTTACTTGGATCATTGCCTACATTGTGTTATCTAAGAAGGCCAGTTTTTGAAGGGTAACCAGATAAGAAACGTTTCTACCGTGCCCACAAATTTGCATTGCTCAATATGAAAACATACGCTTTCATCTCTATTTGAACAGGACACACAGTCCTTCCAATGGTGCTGCATAAAATTGTGTATAGGAAACAATTTGAATCAGCCTGTACATTGATAGAAGAAACAGTCTTACTTCTTATTCTCCTCTCTAAACTGAAGAAAATATGATAGGCGAAAGAGAAAACCTTCACCTCAACACATGACAGAGCAAATAAATACACAGGAAAACTAAATAGGAAGAAGCAATTCTACAACAATGGCTAAAAATCCAGAAAGTGACTGAGGGGAAATCAGGCTGGCACTGATGAGTGCTGGAGAGTGTGAGGGTCAGCTAGGGTCAGGGAATTCATCTCGGACATGAGAAGGAAGCAAACGCAAATGTGCTGGGCCTGCCCTCTCAGTGCTACGAAAGGCAGGAACCAATGCTCTTGAACCTATGTAAGAAGGCACTAGAACAGCTCTGAGAGGAGTCTGTACAAATCAAGGCAGAAAAGAATTGAGCAATTTGTTCAAAGAGATGAAAATTACCCAGTAAGTCTCCCAAACTTAAATAGCCCACCAGATGCTAGGGTTAAGGGAAGTGAGTGGGAGATAAAACCAGAGAGGATAAACATCAGAGACCCTGGCAAATGAGGTGCTGGTGAGGAGTCACGGGGAAGAACAGGGCCCCAGTCACTAAGAGAGGCCAGAGCATGGGAGGAGAGATGGAGGTGGCCCAGGAATGTAGGCTTTGTGTTTACATTTGTTGTTGTCATTGACTGCCATGGTGTCAGTCCTGGATTCATGGCGACCCCAGCCACAGCAGAACGAAATGCTGCGTGGTGCTGAGCAGCCTCATGATCAGTTGCGGTAAGGACTGATATAGGGTTTTCGTTGGCTGCTTTTCAAGAAGTAGATTCCCAGACTTTTTTTCCAGTTCGTGTTAAGTCTGGAAGCTCTGCTGAAACTTGCTCAGCATCCATGACAGCAACATGTATACCTCCAGTAACAGATGGTTGTGGCTATGTAGATGGTGGTGGTGGTTATGTGCCATGTACTCGGTTCCAACTCATAGCGACCCTGTACAGGATTTCCGAGACTATAAATCTTTACGAGAGCAGATAGCCTCATCTTTCTCCCGCGGAAAAGCAGGTAGTTTCCAACTGCTGACCCTAAGGTTCACGACCTGATTTGTAATCACTACGCTACCAGAGCCGGAATCCAACCCGAGTCTCCTGAATGGTAGATAAGAATTCTACCACTGAACCAATGTCCCCAACCTGTGTGTGTACTCCCCCCAACAAACCACACACATACACACAGCACTCAAACAGAAGGGAGAGACTCAAGAAAGAGTCATGATCAGCACGTCTATTGGAAGCCCGAGATACAAGAAATCTTTATATGAAAGGATAATATGTAAATTAAATCAGTAGAAATAAAAGTAGACCTTAAATGCCACCCCTGGCAACATCTCACATGCCTTTTCAGCGTAGATAAAAAATGAGTCTTTCCATTTCTAATTTTAATTGGAAAGTCTTTTTCACAAATGACTACCATATAATTAATTAATAAAAGCAAAACGTGTGTTAGTAAGATCATGTGGTTAACTACCTTTTGTAGCAGTTCTTAAGATTACTATATCTGTATACAAAGAAGAACAAGAAGGTACAAATTCCTTTTTTAGCACCATGGCTTCAATTCGAAGTGAGTAGCTGGAAAAGAAATCAATAAAGCTGTAAATTTAATGTCAGTAATTTAAAACATCACATTCTGCATACAACAATGATCAATGACTGTATTCTTACTTTGGCACCTGTATTAAGTAGTGTATAAAGGAGTCGGCCAGCGACAGCTTGGACACATCTCCACTAAATGTTTTTAATTTCTTTACCTAAAAGACAAATGAAAGGGAGGCAGAGGAAAAAAAATCATTTAGGATTAAAATTGAACATTATTCAAAATTTCATTTTTTCATTCTTCTAAGACAACAGGACTTTAGTGCTAAACTAAGAAAAGACAGTTAAAAAAAAATAATAATCATATCTACCACTTTAACAAACAAATTTAAGAGAAGAGCTAGGATCATTTATGTGGGTATAGATCTACTTATACCCGTTGCTGATGGGTACAGAGTAGAACTACCCCACAGGGTTTCCAAGGCAGTAATCTTTATGGAAACAGATTGCCCCATGTTTCTAACACAGCAGTTGGTGGGTTTGAACTGCTGACCTTTCTTGATTAGCAGCCAAGTTCTTAGCCACGGTGCCACCAGGGCTCCCACTGCCATTGAGACCATTCTGACTTTGCGACCCTGTATAGTGTTTTCGATGGCACTTAATGAGGAAATAATGAATATAGTGTTTCAGACACTGTAAATCTTTACAGGAGCAGACAGTCTCATCTTTCTCCTGCAGAGCTGCTGCTAGATTTGAACCACCAACCTTGTGGTTAGCAGACCAGTGCTTATCCTACAGCACACCACAGGGTTCCTTCACCAAGGCTCAGTCTCCTATATATCAGAGAGAAGTCCTGGTGTGGCACTGTGGGTTAATGTGCTACACTGCAAGGTCCATTTGAACTACAAGGTCAGCGGTTCAAGCTCCTCAGTTGCTCCTCAGAAACCCTATACAGAGCCATTATCGGTCAGAACCTGCTCGACGGCATTTAACAGCAACAGGACTTAACAACAACAGAACCACTAGAATTCTCAGGGATGTTAGTAAAGGGAGGGGGTGATAAAGATCGTCTCTAAAGATGAAAATTTTCTGTATGTCATAATCTGGAAAGGGAGACCACTGTTTGGGAGAAAGAAGAGTTTGGATACTTATAATATGATTCTTAAAGCCATAAGTGAAAAAAAAAAAAAAAATCCTGTTACTTTGAACATTTTGGTCATAAAATACTTAAGACTAGGTAAGACCTAAAACAGATGTCTCTATCAAATTCCACTTTACATACAAGGGGGCTTTAGAAAGATCATGGATGGATGGAATGAAAAGATAATGGAATTTTCCCAAGACTTTCTGAAGCCCCTTCATACAACAGCTTCATAGGAAGGGACTACTATTTTTTGAGGCAAGTACACTCTGGCTGTCCAGCAGGAAGATAAAAAGAAAAAGAAAAAAAAAACCAAAAACAAAAAAAAACAGAAAAAAATCAACGTCAAGATTTCCTTTTTGAAAAGAGCAAGAAATAAAACAGTATTACTTAGGATTCCATTTCTGCACACATCTTTAGGGTCTATGGTCCCCCAACAGGCCCATACACACACCATATACATAGGAAGAAGACTACGGGATAGGGCCACAGGTGACTCTTACTTTCTTCTACTACTCATTTTTAAGGAGCTCTGGTAGCGTAGTGGTTATAAATCGGGCTGCAAACCTTCAGGTCAGCAGTTCGAAACTACCAGCTGGAAGTTCCATGGGCAAAAGATGAGGCTTTCTGCTCCCGTAAAGATTTACAGCCTCAGAAACCCTGTACAGGGTCGCTATGGGTCAGAATCGAATCGACAGCACTTAATAACAACAACTCATTTTTAACTTCTAAAATATCTATAATAAAACATCCATTTTGTTTTTATATTGTAAGTAATTCAACTACAAGCTATTAAACCCATACAAATATTACCTCAACTGTAACAAAGAAGAAGAAAAAAAAAAAAAAAAAGAGTCTGACCTAAATCTACAGCCAAATAGCTAACAGGTAGGTGAGGGGGCAAAGAGGTCCTCACAGTCCTCAGAAAAACTCCTCACAAAACATCGTACAGAAAACTGGATCAAGAACACTTAAAGTCTACTGTACTACAAATATTCCAACAAATATTTTTCCTGGTAAGTAGTGCCTTTTTTGTTGTTAAGTGCTGTTGAGTTGTTTCCGACTCATAGAGACCCTGTATAGGGTTTCTGAGAAGCGGCTAGTGAGTCTGAACCACCAACCTTGCGATTGAGTCAAACCAACTTGGTGGTCCAGTGCTTATCTTATGGTGCCACATCAGGACTCCAGTAGTTCCTTAATACCAGTAAATTATAAAGCCTGTTGTTACAGCTAGCTATAGTCAACAAGCACTTTTAAATTATTCTTTACAAGGTTTACTCTCTTTCCTTCCAAAAAAACCCATAATTTTGAAGTTTCTTGAAAAATAAAGGATACTTCAAAAATATAAAGGAGGGATGAAGTGTTTGAAAAGATCCTCAAGCTACTATGTGAATTATCTGAATATAAAAAACATGTAATAATTCACATTCTAATATTAAGTCTGGTCTTTAAGACTTTAAGATTACTTTTTTTTTTTAACGGGCAGAAAATGACCATATATGGAATTGCATTACTTCCCCTACACCTTTAGATACTGAGAGTGAACCTATCATACTTAGTTTTACCAAATTTATGGGCATATGGAGCTTCTTATTTAGGTAAGCCCAAGTCAGCATCTAGTTTCTGAACTAAGAAAACCATAGTCCTTCTGGAATACAGTTTAACAATTCACTATATATGGGAAGGGGCACAGTTAGGTTGTTCTTTGTATAAGACCATATACACAGTATGTGCAACACTTCTAAAAATCATAGCACAGTTCTCAGTCTAAATAACAAGAACGGGGCATGGGAAGGAAATTTGGTAAATATTTCTATGAAACATTAGACTAAACTTTAAGTGAGCAATGATTAATATCCTTCACAAATGTAAAGGGCGAAAAGTGTTTATAGATTTCAAGAGAATGTTGATAGAAGGATATTAATGAATTTAAATGTCATGAATACAGTTCTTAAATCTTATTTCAAAATAAGATTTGTGTTCATTAAAAGGGATTATTGTGTTTATGCAGAAGTAAGAAAAAAGAAGTGAACAAACCCTGTAATTATGATTCATCTCTTCATCGTTATCAGAAAGCATTTATCAAACATTGTTAGGCATAATTTTGTTGGCTGAGCCAAGTGACCCTTCTTACGACACTGGCCGTGCCAGGTTTCTGTCTTCACAGTAAACAGTATGTATGCTCCGCAAGACTCACACATTCTAAAGGGCAGGCCTCCTTCATTCACCCAAATTCCACTCACACGGCCTTGAAATAGCAGGATTTCCCATAGGCATACCCACCCAACAGGAGACCCTGAGCTTTTGTCTTATCATTCCTCTTTGGGTAACAGAGTAAACAAAGATGGTAAGGAACAAAACAAAACAACACAGTTGTCACTTAGTCAGTTCTGACTCCCATGAATACAAGAGTAAAACTGTGCTCCACACGGTTTTCAGTGGTGGAGTTTTCAGAAGTAGATCAATGACTTCTGAAGAGCCTTTTGGTTAGCAGCTGAGCATGTTAACCATTTGCATCACCCAGGGACTCTGAAGGAAGAGGGATGGTAATAAAAATGTCCAGAGAAGGCAATACAATCTGCTGCTAGAGAGAAAAGAACATTTCTTCCAGTTTACAGCACTGGACTGTGAACCACAAGGTCAGCCATTCAAATCCACCAGCGGCTCCTCAGAAATCTTACACAGGGTCTCTATGAGTAGGAACCTAATTGACGGCATTTGAAAACAACAGCCCTGTGTGCATGACAGGAAGACGGGGAAAAAAAGCTCATCAGGATGGCTGGGGTGAAGGTAAGGGGCTCCCTTTGACCTTCTAGCTGGCTCCTACCCTGGCTCCTACTCAAGCTTCCTCACACCCGGACCCCCTCTTTGTTGTTTTCAGAGAACACTACCAGAGCTTTCGTTTCAGGGTCCCTCTTCCTCTTCAAGTTTCAACCTTGCATTTGAGGCAAGATGAACAAACATACTAGTTAAAACCACTGCAGTGGAGGAGGGCAGAGACATTCAGGTAACCAAGCTCACCTTAAGTTGGCATGTCAGCGGCGAACTCAAGAGAGAAAAAGAGTAGTTTTCAGTTCCTATTTTCTGAGTGTTGATAAGATTGTAGTATTATTTGAATGGCACTTATTCACCCCAGTACTCTGTGATAGCAGAGGTGATGAAAAGACTGGGAGGCAGCCTTCGCCCTTCCTTCCTGAGAAGGAGGTCGTGGAGCGGAGCAGAAAGATCTGCTCTTTGTTGTTGTTGTTGTTGTTAGGTGCCATCGAGTCAGTACCGACCCATAGTGACCTTATGCACAGCAGAACGAAACACTGCCCGATCCTGGGCCAACCTCACTACTGATGCCACGCTTGAGCCTATTGATGCTGCCACTTTGCCAATCCATCTCGCTGGGGATCTTCCTCTTTTTCTCTGACCCTCCACCTTACCAAACATGATGTCATTCACCAGTGACTGGTCCCTCCTGACAATGTGTCCGAAGTATGAGAGACCAAGTTTGGCCATCTTGGCCTCCAAGGAGCACTCTGGCTTCACTTCTTTCAACACAGATCTGCTCTGGGACCAGATAATTCAGGGTTCAAGCCCAGCCGTCTCTCCTCTATCACCTGTCAGTCATGGGACACTAAGCAAGTCATCTCCAAGCTGCGTGAATCTCAGTTTCTCATTTGCAAAGTGGGGAGTGTCTTAAGTCATTGTGAGGATTAAATGAAAAAATATGTGATAGTAGCTACGGTTTATTGACTGTGTGTGTGTGCCAAGCACTGGGCTAAGCACTTTAAATACATTGTCTCGTTTAATAGAACTTTGTCCTGTAGAGCCCCTGGGACGTGGGGCCACGCAATAAATGGTTAGTCCCTTCGTGAGCTAAAAATGAGCACAGAACGTTACACCACAGGCTTAACATGTGGTTACACATACAATTACCCATTTATTAGCATATTTCAGCCACATTCCTGAACCTCTCTTACTTGTTGGCCCTGCCTCTTCCTTGGCCTCCTTCCCAACCTCCATTCTCCACCCAGGGACCCAGACTCCTTGGGTCTGGGTGGTGCCCGAGGCCACACAGCCTGACAGCAGACCCAGTTTGTCCTTGCAGCAGGCATTCCTCATTAGGTGGCTTTCCTGTGACACTAGGGTCCCTGGACAGAGTTAGGGAGGGGCCCAGCTGCCCTGGGGACTGTCAGGGTGTTCCTGAAGGAAGCTCCCAGATGTGTTTGGAGGGTGTGGTGCGCTGAAGCCCGGAGTCAGTAAATGTAAACAAGGAGCCAGTGAGGCAGCTTGTCAGATATTCATGCTGAGGATGACCCTGCCGCAGCAGGGTGATGGGACAAGCAGCTGAGGCCAGGGTAGCAGCCGAGAAGGTATCTCTGGATCCCACGCCAACGTTTCATCTCAGCGGGATACGTCTCCAGGGTTAGCTAATTTTCTGGGGGAGAGACTACCTTGGAACTCGGGGCATCGCCTGGGTGGGTTTTAATCATCTTGACTTTAACGTTCTTCCCTTTGAATTCTATCCTACACACAACACAGAGCACGGTTCTTTAAAGTGGCAGAGGTTTGACAGCTAATTCACATTTTGGAAAGGTCTCTTAAAAGGTCTCTTAGTCTCCCACAGTCTTTGCATTCCCTCATCATCTTTGAATTCTAAGTTAGAAATGAAGATAAGAAAAAAAAAAAACCAAACTGTATTTCTCTGTCCCTCTCTACAGCATGACTCTGGCAGCCTTCTTCCTTCCATAACTTTTAGTTAGCTTCCAGAGCACTTGCAAGAACATTATCAAGTCTGATCCACACCTCGCAAGGATGAGGTCAGTTAGGAGTAGGCATGCTGAGCAGTTCTATGAAAGAGTTGTTGAAAAAAGCCGAAGCAGAAAGAAGATTCCAAGAATGCTAAGTCTTTTTCAATTCAACTCACATGAAACTCTACAGACCCTAATAAAAGATTTTGGAACTTCTATGCTTTACATAAAAGGAAGATTAAGGAAAGCTCAGTATGTAAGATCCAGGATAAACTATAATCTAATGTATCTTTCCCTGAAGACTTTAAGATCCTTTCCTGACATTAATAAACGCCATTAATTAATCTTAGCCTAGGTAAATTACACTTAATTTGCAAAGAGAAAACTTAAGGTAGAAAGAGCTTCAAGTTATTAAATATACTTAAAAAATATATTTAACCACGAAGACCCTGAACTTGACCTTTTAAGTTTAACACTAACTAATAAAAAAGAAAAGGTAAAAAGATATTTCTCTTATTGAAAATCAGGTTCCGTAGATCACCTCTGGGCAGAGAAGGATGAGGGTGGGAAGAGCAGCAGTATATGAGGAAAGGAGTCTACTATTTACATGAATTTTTTCCAAGGGTGACTTGTTCCAAAATTGCTATTCTGTTTTTTCCTATCAAGCTTCTAATTATTCAACAATTCAGAAAAATATCAGTAAGTTTCTAGAGTTTAGTCAATTGTGCCAACAATATTTATTAACAGTTTACCCACCTCTTCAAATTTTTAGAGCAACCAAAATTGGTTGCTGTTTTTCCTTTAAAAAATCATATGTATATATATGACATCTGTTTTACCCAAGGCAAAGAAGATCAACCATTATTAGAGGTTGGGAAAGGAAACTAAAATTTTTAAGTACCCATGTACCAAGTACCATGCTAGATGTTTAACTAGAATGTAATCATCTTGACAATCCAATGAGCTAAGCATCATTATCCTTACTTTACAGGTGAAGAAATGAAAGTTCACAAGAGCTGGCTCACATTTCTTAGCTAAGGGTACAGGTCGCATTTGAACCCAGAGATTCTGACTCTGTAACTCCTTCCAGTGAATCACTTTTTTTCTTTTTACATGAGAAAATTCAGGGCTTTGAATAGGCACATGCCTTTCCAGTGTGAGTTTTGACACTCCTTAAAAGGTTAAACTTTTACCATCACCCCTAACATCTAAACTCATGTGCCAAATTCCTTACCTCTTCCGACTCTGGCAAAAGCTTAAGACACTCTCGTAATGTCTCTGATCCGTAGTGCTCACTCTTTCCTTGATGGATATCTTCTACAATGGACTGAGGAGACCTGGAAAACATCATTAATCAGAACCCATTTCATATTTGCTGGAGTGCCAACCAAGATACAAGCCAGTGGAAATGAAAACAAAACACCTCCGCTCTCCTTTCCAGCCCACCTTCTTCCCAGCCTGCTGGAATCCTGAAGACTCAGAGACCCCTTCATATAGAAAACCATCTTTGGGCATCCCAGTGAAAAGCAACAACCACCAGAATTCTTTTTTGAGAGGAGAAAAAAAATCCTCTTTGGTCTCACTGGGACTCCTGTAGAGACTACTCCTTCCCACCTAAAATACTTGAATTTATTTATAAGCTGTTTGGTTTGCCAGTTCCAACCTAGACTCAAAGGGCAACGCTAATGATTAAGAAATTTCCTGACATGGATGTTGTTGTTGTTTGTTGTTTTTGTGCTGCGGAGTCGGTTCCGACTCATAGCGACCCTACACAGGGTTTCCGAGGCTGTAAATCTTTACGGGAGCAGACCGCCTCATCTTTCTCCTGCGGAACCGCTGGTAGTTTCGAACTGCTGACCTTGCGGCTCGCATCCCGATTCGTAACCACTACACTACCAGAGCTCCTTATCCTGACATGGATACCCCTGGCCAATTCTCATTGTACCTGAAACTACTAAATTATGTTTTCATGAAGGAAAACAGCAGAATGTGACAAGATTCCTGAAAAGCCATCAAGTCATGCATCTGGGAAGGATATGAATGTATGAGGAATGATTTTCACTCATATTGGAATTTGAGTTTCAGCTCCGTTACAGCCACATAATACTGACGACATGGCTATAACCCAAGTTTTAGAAGTATGCAATATTCTTACTTCTTAAATTGCTTAAGAAATATCCCAATGTTCATGCTCCGTTTTGCATCCAAGATAGTAACCTGGAACAACAACAAAAAAAAAATTAGAAGATTATTAAAGTACAAACAAAAAGAGTTGGAAGAAAGAATACAATTAAAATTTGTTAAGGTACAAAACTAATTCATAAAAAGTATTTGCAATACATAAATCTGGTGATAATATATACATCTATTATCATGTTGGAGTCCTGGTGTGGCGCTATGGGTTAATGCGCCAGACTGCAAAGTTGGTTTGAACAGCAAGGTCAGCAGTTCAAGCTCATCGGCTGCTTCTCGGAAACCCTATACAGGGTCTCTATGGGTTAGAACTGACTCAACAGCACTTAACAACAACATTAGTATGTTGGAATCCTGGTGTGGCGCTGTGGGTTAATGTGTTGGACTCCAAGGTTGGTTTGAACCACAAGGTTGGCGGTTCAAGCTCACCGTTGGCTCCTTGGAAACCCTATACAGGGTTACTTTGAGTCGGAATCAACTTGACACCACAACAGCAATTATCACGTTATAAATATTAAAGTAATTTAAAATATGTTACCTCAACTTTGTTCAATGATACTATATTTAATTGCAATAATTATGTTTTAACATATACAATTTAAAAAAATATATAACAGATATTTAATTTTTAAACATTTTTATTGCAATTTGAGTGAAAGTCTACAGAGCACGCTGGCTTTCCATTCAACTTCATACAGATGTTAATTCATGACATTGATTGCAATGCCTATAATGTTAATAGTACTCTTCCTAGCTCCTCCCTGTGTTTGTTTCCATTCCTCCTTTTTTCCTATCCCTTCCTGCCTTCTGAGCTTTTGTCCCTGGAAAAAAAACTGCTGTTTTGATCTCCTATGGTTGGTTGTTCTAAGGAGTGTGTACCTCCCTGATGTTATTGTTCACCTTGTAAGCCTGTCTATTGTTGAAATGAAAGCTGAACCACAGGGGTGAGTTTAGATCCAGGCTTGAAGGACTTCTAAGAACCATAGCCTAGGAAGTTCCACCAGAGTAAATCTGGTCTTTTAAAATATTTTGTATTTGTTCCACTTTTCCAGATGTGAAACACTCTATCCAGAACCTCCTAATGTGATCCCTTTCAGAGTGATCAGCAATGGTAGCCGGGCACTATCTACATCTTTCTGGTCTCAGGGTTGCCAAGGTTGCAGTTCCTGCAATCTAGTAGTCCTTTGGACTACTTGTTTCCTTGTGTCTTTAATTTTCTTAACTCTTCTCTGATCCGGTCAGGAAGAGACCAATATTTGCACCTCAAGTTTTTTGGTTGTTTTTTTTTTAAATAATTTTTAGCAATTTCCTCTTAGAATATAGCCCCTACTCAAGAGCTGCAATTTGGAAGTAGATGTCTTAGCCTATCAAGAATCATATAAGATTTGAACTGGAAGTTAAAAAAAACAAACAAACTATAAAGACATTGCTGAGTTCCAATCCCAATTTAGAGAGGAAAAAATGACATCTGCTATCAGTTTTGGAGTCCTGGTGTGGCACTGTGGGCTAATGTGCTGAACTGCAATGATGGTTTGAACCACAAGGTCAGCAGTTCTAGCTCACCAGCCGCTCTTCAGAAACCATGTACAGGGCTGCTATGGGATGGAACCAACTCGATGGCACTTAACAACAACAGCAACTATCAATTTCAGAAATGTCATAAAAAATTTTTCTAAACATAATCTCTCATTTTATTGAAAACGTAAATATATGTCCAACAGAAGAAATTATTCTATATTTCTCTTTTCAAAATTGAAAAAGGAGTCTAAGGTGCATATTTTTTGCACTTTAAACACCTCTGAAATTAGGATGTGTCTTACAATGTGTGGCATCTTGCTGCTGTTGTTAAGTGCTGTCAAGTCGGTTCCAACCCATAACAACCCTGTATAGGGTTTCTGAGGAGCAGCTGGTGAGTGCCGACCTTGCGGTTCAAACCGACATTTCAGTCCAGCGCATTAACCCTCAGTGCCACACCAGGACTCCTGAAGCCGGATTCCCCTTTGTTCACAACGAATAACATACATAGTCCATTTAAGAATGTATGGCATCTTAGTGATGGTGATGTATTGTTGAGTCGGTTCAAACTGCTGACCATGAGCTTAGCAGCCTGATTCGTAACCGCTACTCTACCAGAGCTCCTTGTATGGCATCTTTGGTTTGCTGGTTGGTTTTGTGCCAAGGAATCAGTTCTGACTCATAGCAACCCTGTAAAGGATTTCTGAGGCTATAAATCTGTGGTGAATAGAAAGCCTCATCTTTCTCCTGCAGAACAGCTGGTAGTTTCAAACTGCTGACCTTGAGGTTAGCAGCTCAACTCGTAGCCACTATGTTACGCTACCACAGGAAATACAATAGCTATTCTAGGGGACCATCAAAATCCAGATTTTGATTGCAGTGGGCTTTTACTGCTCAACATTAACAATCTAGAAGGGTTTCTATCAGTCTAGGAATTATACTGTTTTGTGTGGGGTTTTTTTAAGTAAAGAAGACTTTATTTCTCTGGATGTAAACATCCAGGATCTATGAAGGAAAAAATAACATTAATACTGCTGTAATGTTTTCCATTTGCTCTTTGGTAAAGGGAGACTAGCTAAAATAGGAATGTTGTTATAATGCCCTTCCTTTCCAAATGTATGTTATTCATTGTGAACAAAGGGGAATCAGGTTTCAGGCTAAATCCCTGGTCTCTGGGCCTGCTTCTAAGTTTATAAGAATGTTTAGAAGCAGCAAGACTGTTAACACTGCTAATGTCACTTCCTGGCTATATGTTAAATTTTTACAAGAGTATGGTTGCCGTCTTTTGAAGACTAATCTTAAACAACCACATTATTTACTAAACCAGGGGTTCATTTCATGTTAACACAATCACCTGCCAGCCATAAAATAAACTCCCAAGCTAAAAGGGCAGACACTTTATTGGAATCCTATCCAGGGATTTCAGTTCAAGTTCAGCGTGAAAGGAGGGGGAAGAAGGAGGAAAAGAAAGGGTAGGCATAAAACCTGTCAAACTTAACACCTTGTAACAAGGAAAGCTCAAACTAGAAAGAGGAATCTAAGTTTATGAGGACAGGAAACTATGTGTTTATTTGCAAATTAGAGGGCCACAAACAAGGTAATGTATATTGATCTATCTATCTATATATAAAAAAACTCGCTCTGCATTTCTTCTATCTAAAATGGGGAGATAACTAGTTTGATATTTCTCTCATTAAATTGCCTCCTGCTGCTATATTTAATCCTTGACTACAACACCCTCCCACATGCCCACACGCTCCAAGTTCTTGCCCTCATCTTCTCCACCCCTCCACCTTCTGAGACTCATGGGACAATCTGGCCTATGTCCACAAATGTTGCTGGAAATGTAATGAAGAAAATCATGCTTAATACCCCTCTTTGACAGAAGAGAAGACTGAACCTCAGAGATGGCATTTTTCAAATTTCCCAAAGAGGTACTGAAGTTGAAATGCGAGCCTGGGTCTCTCTGATTTCTCCTGACTCTAGTCCCTGTGAGTTTGGGGATGACTGGGTTTCCATTGGTAAAGCAAATGTTCCTCCACCAAAGGTATTCATACAGGGATTTTTTTCCTAGGGATGGCGGCAGATTTGTAGAAAGCCATCTATGTCCCCAGGTGACCCTAGAGTTGTATATGTGGGATGATAGATAGATGTCATTTTCTTACCAGCTAAGCCATCTGCCAGGAGGTTAAGGACTTCTCTAGTCCTATAGGAGTAGCCCATCATACTCAACAGAGACAGCCCCAGCCTGAAGAAGCTTCTCTTTCCCCAGATTGAAGCGAGGCCTTAGAAATCACTCACCAATTTAAAGAAGTCAAGAATATCCTCCAAGAAAAACCCTGGGCTGGCTATGAGTGAGCACCTTACAGAGAAAACAAAGCCCAACATCGTGTCCAAATCAATGAAAATGAACCAAATGATCACACAGGACAGCTCTGCCCTCTTCTGCTATCCCCCAGACCTGCCTACTGCACTAGAAGACTCGTTCTCGTACTAAAATTGTTCTGTTGAAGTCCTTTAAAGACAGTAGTGACTACACATGCAAATTAGCTTATCTTACTTTCCAAACGCTTTCAAAGCTGAGCACTTGCGAAAAGAATCTGTGTCGGACTGGGTGGTGCTTTGGAATCATTTAGGGCATTGGAATCTGTAGCTGGAATTTCTGGGAGACTCACTGGCTATCCAAGCTTGGAAGTCATAGACACCTGACCCTGAAGAAGAACAGGGGTGAACCAGCCTGGCCAATGAATGGGTTCATGCTGCCGCACCCCTACCCTCCTCACCCCACCCCACCAGTTCCGATCAATCCATAATCTGCTTTTGTGAACACACAAGGATTTATAGGCAGCGCCACTACCGGAAGCCAGTGTCTACAATGGTAAATACAGTCAACAGTTGACAGAATTCACCAGCTTTTCTACAGGCTGCCATGGAGTGGATTCTGATTCATAGAGACTCTCAATGACCGCTTAGAACTGCCCCATTCCTAAACTGTAATCTTCATGGTAACAGTTCTTTTCTCCCACTGAGCAGCCTGTGGCTTCCAATTGCTGATCTTTCAGCTAGCAGCCAAGCTCTTAACTACTGTGCTACCTGGGCCCCTGCCATTAAAAGTCTGAATTCCCCCTAGGGAGTAAACCCATTCAGGGTTAACTAAAATGTAAGGTAATGCATTCAGTTCAGTGACCACTGGTTCTGTGGCCCTCAGTAGCTCAGAGACAGAGTGTCACAGCCCTTAGAAGAGAGTGTCTGAATGGCTGCACCACTCTCTCCCTAAAACCTCCAAATAGGTTCTCCTAGTTTCTTCCCCAACAATTCTTGTTCCTTCACCTAGGACCAATCCACCTCAAAATTTGCTTCTCATGTCCTTTAAATATGCCTGTTTCAGTATGTCAAAGGGGCCTTTTACCTACTTAAACCAAACCTAACCGAACACACTGAGTTGATTCCGACTCACAGCGAGCATGGAGATAAGAGAATTTCTCCTTAGAGTTTATGAGACTGTCAGT